TCTGCTGGGAGACACCCTGAGTCAGCCACTGTGCCCAGACCCCCCAGAGACACCAGCTGCAGAGTGCTACCAGGAGAGCCTGCAGCGTCTCCAGTAAGGATGCTCTGCTCCAGAGCGTGCCAGGGCCAGGCAGAGCGGGGCGAGACCTTGCACTTATGGCCAACAGTTGGTCTGAAGTCACAGCCCAGCTGGTTGCGTTACAGACCTGTTCCAGTTTCTGGAAGGAGCTGGAGCTGCTGGTTGCCTCCATCTGGAAAGCCAGGATGCAGCGGAGCAGGGGTCGTGCCTCTGCCTCACCCAGCGCCTGCAGACCCTCGCTCAGCACCCGTGTCAGCAGCAGAGCCTCCTCCAGGTGCTTCTCTTTGCATCTCTTGGCAGTACTCCTGGAACAGCACAGGCATGGGGTGAGGATACCCCTGCCCGGTGGAGGTTGTAGTGGGGGGAATACCCTGGCTCAGTTGGGTCTGGGGTGGGAATGTTCCAGTGCAATGTGGATTGGGGTCGGGGTGCCCCAGTTTGTTAGGTGTCAGGGTTGGAGTGGCCCATCTTGCGAGGCTCCTCTCTTCCAACTGCACTCAGCATTGCACTGGGGGGAAGGGGGGATCGCGTGGGGGAAACGACACGAACTCCTCAAAGGTTAGAGCCTGCAAACCCTTTGTGGGGCGGGGCGGGCGGTGCAGAAGGACATGAAAAATCCTAAAGACTGCTGCCCTGCTGCTACAGAGCAGGCTGGAAGGGACTGGGGACACGTGGGGGTAGCTCGAACCCCGTGCTGGGTACCGACCCTCTCACACTCCCTCCCTGCCGGCCCGCGCCGGGGGGATGCTCGGGGGGATGCCGAGATCCGCGCCGGGCGATGCGGGGGCTCCACACCGGGGGTTCCCCGACGGACCCGCAAGCGGGGGGATACCGGGAGCTCCCTCCCCGGGGCCCGCGGTCTTACCCCGCGAATTGGCGCAGGCAGCGCAGGCAGGACAGCACGGCCGGGGCGATGCCCAGCGTCCCGTAGAAGGCGGCGCAGGCCCGCGCCTCCCGCTCCGCTCCCATGGCCGGGAGCGCCGGCACCACAGACCATAGAGCTCTCTGGAGCTCGGGCGGGCTCCGCCGGGCTCAGCGGCCCCCCCTAGCGCTGTCCCCCGGCCCGCCGGGCTCCGCCGGGCACCGCGGGGCTCCCGGGAGCGCCGCTCGGGAGGAGGGATGCGCGCGAAGCCGAATCCTTGGATCCACCGCCAGCTGCGTGCCAGGGGTTGAAAAGCATCACCATCATCCCAAACTGTTTCCACAGTCAGTTAAAAGCGAGAGACCCCAGAATGGCTGAAAAACAGGGACGCGGTGCTGCCTGCCGAGCACGGAGGGATTTGGTCAATGTGAGGTGGTGTGAGATCTCTGAAATGCCGCCTGGAATGCGTCAGGGTGAAATAGTTGTCTCGTTCCATCGCGGTTCTTTGCAGAAGAGGAGGTTTGGTACCCCACAGTCCTCCTGCTACCCCATGGGTACCCTCTCTGGTATCCAGCATCCCTACCAGCAGCATCACTAATAACACCAACACCCAGTGGAGAGACTCCACTTCTTCCTGGGGGATGAAATGGCCTTTGGAGAGAGAGAAACAGATTTATTATAACACTAGATGTTAATTATCATCTAATCCAAATTATTTTATTCTTTTTATCAGTTGGCACAGGGTTGAACTATTTTAATAGGCACAATTTTAAGGTGACCTTTAAAGGTACCTTGCAAACCAAACCATTCCATGACTCCATTATTTCTGCAGTTTTGTTAATCATAGTTTTAGTACCTGACTAATGCATTCCACTGAATTTCAGCTATCCAGAAAGTGCTTCTTGGTTTTGACTTTGAAGGCTTGTTCTTATCCTGTGTTGTTTCTCACAGTGGCACTGGTGTGAGTAATGGGCATTGGCTGCTGATGCCACTGAATGAGCCAGTGTCAGATAGCCCAGGAAAACTGGCTGGGATGCACCTGTGGCTGCACTGGGTGGCCAGGAGGATGCTGAGATGTGGCTCCCTGCTCAAGAACTGCACTTAGGGATGGAGAGCACCCAGCCTGTAGTTTTTGGCAACATTTGTCAGAAACATCCATCTCTGTTCTGCTGTAGAAACCAGTCTGGAAGCCCAAATCCAGCCAGGGGGTCAGTGAAACAGCCCAGGATTTGTCCCAGGTAAGGTCGAGGAGGTCACATCCCTCAGACCTGATTGTTCTCTGAGCACCATGGCCACCCCACGGAGGTGATGATGGAATGGGGAGAAGCACTGCCAAACCAGAGTTCCCACAGGTGCCAGCACCCAGGCAGAGGCAAGGCAGAGGAGGGTGCTCCTATGTTGTGGGGTTACCAATGCTCCTGTTCCCGTTCCCTTGTGCTACCTGCAGAAAGGAGAGGCAAGGGAGGGAAAAGGGGAATTTTTTCTTGTTTCACCATAGGAAGGATTTTCAAACCCTATAAATTCACTTTTGACAAGTGAACAGCTAAAGCAGATTAACCTTTTTGCTAATCCTCTATAATGGCTTTGGAATCTCCTTAACCAATAAGAAAATGATAAGAGCCTGTTTCTTTTCTTTTTATCTATATCTATATTGTCCTCTCTTGTCTGCATTTTTTCTCTTGCTTGTTTTATTTTCCTTTCCTTTTCTAATATGAAATAGCCCAGCGATCCTATCTCCCAGAGGCTCAGTAAACAGAACATCAAAAATCCCTTTCCTTTATTCCTCTCCGGTAACAGGGTGCAGAGAAGTGTCTGCCGATTGGGATTTGATTACCAGCAGCTATCAAAAGTCTCTTTGTAAGATCTGGATCCTAAATCCCATAATTCTTTGATAAAAGAAGTATTACCAGTCCATTTTCTGAAGTGAAAGGTACGAGAGGAATGAAAGAAAGCAATCAGTGGAGATCCTAATAGGCTAAATGTGTGTGCTGTGGGAAGGCAGGGCCAGGCCAGGGAGCCCAGGGAAAGGGGTCCTTTGTTAAGGATGGGGAAGGAGAATTAATCCGCTTCAGGCTTATGATTATTACAGCCAAGAGCAGAAATTGTGGGATCCTGCACCTGCCATGGCATGTCCCAGCTCACCAGCCCTACAGTCCTTCTGGACCGGCATGGTGTGGGGAGCAGGACCTGGCCCCACATCCGCATTCTGTGCCAGTGTTTGGACATGAATTAAAGCTGGGAGCAGCTTGCAATGGTCCCTGGTGTTAGGGGATCACATCCCCAGTGTCTCTCTGGAGCGCTGACACCTTGGCAGGCCAGCAGTGAACATATCCAGACTGGGCAGCTACAAGGGCGTCTTCCTCTCAAACCTGCAGCAAACATGTAAAGATTCACAGATCATGGTTATAATCCATGTTGTGTCATTGGAACAGCTGAAGGAGAGGCAAATACAGGGATGGAATTACAGATAATGGTTTGGTTTTAAGTGAGTCACAGGTAGAATAGCCACAGGGCATCTCTTCCCAGAACTGGGATACCTCCAAGGTGAGGAAGGGCAGGCAGTGAGCAGGGCCAAGGAGAAAAGAAGGGGGATTGAGAGGGGGTTCTCCTGGGAACTGGCTATCAGCTTTGCATGATGCCAGAGCCATTGCTGTGGTTTGATGTGCAGTGGTTTCAGAGCACCCACCTGTTTGTGTCCTCGGTGTGCCGTGAGAGAGACTGGTAACTTCTCTCCCCTGCAAGGAAACACCGAGTGGGAGAGCACTCCCCATGTGAGCTCCTGAGGCCTGGCTACTCACCTTGGCTTAAGCCACACTGATGGCAAGAGAACTTGGTTTAAACTTTCCTAAGCAACCTGAGCTCAATCACACCTTCTTCATTTTATTCCCAGCTACTTGTTTCTGCCAGGCCTTGCTGTTTGCCCTTGTAAAGTGTCCCCTCCTGTCCTGAGTCGCTGTTCCTGGCTGCAGCCTCAGCCCAATTTCTCTGGCTAGACAGGACCTGGGAATTGAACTGGTTTTGGGGAAGCCTGGCTGCCCCAGACAGCTGTCCTGGCTGCTCTGGGCTCACTGACCACAGGACTTCACTGCCTGCCTGAGAGCACATGGAGACAGCAGCATCAGTCCTCCTCTTCCCTTCCCGACACGGAGCACGGCTCAGCTGTGCAGGAGGTGGTTACATGCCACTAAGCTATGGTGCAGAACTGCTGTGAGCTGCCAGTAATCTAATTTAATAAGGGCTTTGAATCCTTACAGAGAGTATGTTGGATACATGCAAAGCATCTGCATTATCAGAGTGATTAGTGCAGCAGAGCTGGGGGAAAAGGGAAGGAGGGAAAACACAATTTCTCTGCTTTCAGCAGAAAATAAATCAACTTTCACAGAGAGTTCTGGTACAGCCAAAGGCTGTGCTGTCATTAAAAAATGATTTTTTATTAAGCTGAACTCTCTCCTCTCTCATATTGTGTGATATGACAGCTCTCTTTTGATGGGAAAGCTTTCATTTGGCCAGAGAAAGGGATAATTTGCTTCTTTTAAGGAGTTAATCCTCTGGTCCATTTCCGGGCTGGGAACAGCTATCCTCCCCCTTCCTTGGATCGGAGGCTGCAGCACAATGGAGATCATAACCACCTCAAATCTACACCCGAGATGGAGAAATCAGATTTCCTTCTCCAGTCATTTTTGTGGGATTAGCTAAATCTTAGATCCACACTAACCCTTCACAAAGCTGCCAAGATTAGTTAGAATTTATTTTATTCACAGGGGGGTTTACGGTTTTCTTTCCAAAGGGATTATATCTCTCTATATATATATTTAGGGTGGCTTCAGTCATAAAGCAGCTGGGTCAGAAGGAGGAAAAGTGTGCGTGTGTATGAAATAAAAACTCAGCTGCGAGAATGACAGTCACTTGAAATGCCAACACAAAGCAGCAGTTCTGGATGGTTTTGCAGTCCATTTAAAAAGCCATATAAGCTGTCCTTTTCCTTGTGAGACCCCACTACGGAGCTAGTGCAGGCAGAACAAACCCCCTCAGCCCAGGTTGCCTGTTTTCCCAGCACAGGATGACTTCAGAACCAGCACCAGACGCCGACCCCAGTAGGAGAGCCCTGAAAAAGCCGTGTCCGTTCAGCATCGAGGACATCCTCTCCAGCCCTGTGGAGAAGAGCCCCCAGGTCTTGGTCCCACTGTGCCTACGGAGCATCTTAGACTGCACACCCAAAGGGCTGTGTGAGCTGGAGACCATCCCAGCCAGCTCCCTGCAGGAGGAAGAGGAGGAGGAGGAGGAAGAGGAAGAGCTGGAAGGGGCAGGCTGTGGCTGCTGCTGCTGTTCTCACACAAGCACCCGCTCCCTGCAGGACTCGCCGGCTTGGCTGGGTGAGTGTTTGGGTTTGATTTGTGGTGTGGGGCTCACAGGGGGGGTGGTGACAGTGCTGGGTGTGGGGGAAAACCAGAGTGTTGAGTGACACTGTGGCATCTGGGCACGCTGGTCTCAGACCCCAGCTCCAGTGAGCTGAGCTCTGCTCTCAGCAGAACTCCCAACAGTTGGAATCCATTGCATCCAATCTGCAATGTTATCAGAGTCTGAAAAGCAGCAGGTGCTGTTTATTACTGATATTACTGGTTTAGTGTGAAACTCTTGAGAGGATGATGTGGAATGTGGGGCCCCATGACCATGCTGCCCAAGTGCAGAGCTGTGTCTGTGCTTCCTGACAACACCAGCTTTGGAGAACCTCACTTGTCCCTTAAGGAAAAGAGTTTTGGCTACATCTCACAAAATTACTGCATCTAGGGTAAAAAAAAGTAGCAAACCCTTAAAAATGCAGTTCAAGAGCATCCTGAAAGTTCAGAAATCCCCCGTGTCAGGACCAAAACAGCTCCTTGTCAGGCTGTGAGTTTCCAGCCATTTTCTGGAGCTGGCCATAGTGCACCTGGTAAGTGAGCAAGGAAAACCCAACCAGTGCTGTTCCCCACCTGCATCCTTCTCCCAAATGATGCCCTAAGCTCTTCTCTCGCTTGTGTGGGGACCACTCAGCCTGTGACCCGCTCCAGGTGACTGCACTATGCACGGGTGAAACTTGTGCCTGAGCTGCCTTGAGCAAGACGGGTGTTCCAGCTCCCCACCCCAGCACTGTCCCTCTCCCTGTCCCCTTGCAGATGCCCGGTTCCCCTGGCCCATGAGGCTCTTCCACTCGGCAGTCAGGGTCTGCAAGAGTCCCCAGGAGAACCCCAGCGAGCTGCAGACTTTCCACCAGATCCAGCGCCGGACGCGCCGGCACCGCACCATCTTCACCGAGGAGCAGCTGCAGGCCCTGGAGACGCTTTTCCACCAGAACCAGTACCCGGATGTCGTCACCCGGGAGCACCTGGCAAACCGCATCCACCTGAAGGAGGAGAGGGTAGAGGTGAGGTCCTGCCACTCGCTGGGTGCTGCTTCCTGCAGTCCCCCAGGAACACAGACCAGGGCTGTATTTTTCAGGAGCTGCAGACCCAGGGCCTCGTTTTGAAATCTAGTCTTGTGTACTTGACAAAACAGGACTTGGGAATGGCAAACAATGGAAGAATATAAACCTGTTCTGCTGGGCTGATTTGTTCTGGTATCCAGTCCCACTGACACGATGCCTCTCTCTCAGAACCACTTGTATAAACACACAGATGTGCCCAGCTCACCCATCCCCTGCACCCAAGTGTATATTCCTTACTCATGTGCTTTGCGTGCCTTCTGAATTTGCCATGGGAGGGTCCCAGCTCCCTTGTGCCCCTTAGCTGTATCTGAGCAGGATTGTAGTGGAGGGACTGATCATATCAGGAAATGTATTACAGTGTCCTAAAGCTCACATGGCACAGCTCAGCAGCGTAGCTGCCTCCCCCCCCCAGTAATACATGAAAGGTAAAAACACTTTTCTTGTTTTGCATTTTTCTAGGTTTGGTTTAAAAATCGTCGGGCGAAGTGGCGGCACCAGAAGAGGGCGAGCACCTCAGCACTGATCCTGCAGGGCACCAAGCAGCCCCCTGAGGAGAGCTGTTAGTGCTGTGGGTGCTGTGGGTGCTGTGGGTGCTGCAGCTCAGCAGAGCGACGCCAAGAGCATCCACTGCCCGTGGCTGATGGGCTCTGCAGGGGGGGTAACCCGAGGGGCACTAATGAAGCAAGAGGGAATCTCTGTGATTCACAGAGGAGGAGGACAGGTAAAATCAGACACGGCACTTTCACATCCCTCTTGCAAACCTAGTTCACGTGGCAAATAACTCGGCAGGCACGGCGTGCAGGGGACAGAGCTGTACCAGCGTTAAGTGTGTGTGCTTCAAGAGGAGAGAGTCCCCTTCTTGTCTGCGCTCTGTACCCATAGTATTTGTGCTTGGTTTACTGCTGTAATTTGCGAAATATCCTGCAAATGAATGTTTCCTATTTGCAGCACCTCAGTGGCATCCAGAGTTGCTTTGGGGGTGGCACTTGCTGAACAGGTGATTTGTTCCATAATAAAGAAATCCCGGTTTGTCCCCACAGCCTGAGGCAGGGATGAGCCATGGGTTGTGATGGGAGGGCTGGCACAGCCAGTGCTCAGCTCTCTGTGCTGCAGCCAGGTCCTGCCAGAACGAGTCATGTCCATGTTCCTGGCAGGGACAAAGAGAACCCACGTCCTGTAGAGCACCGAGATCCATAAAACTGTAATGCCACCTCTGCCTGAGCAGCTGGGCGGGGGTCCTGCTCCCCAGGGACACTTTCCCCATTCCCGAGTCTGGAGATCCTGGGTTTTTTCTGAGGAGGCCTGAGGCGGCTGTGGGGGGTGCTGGGGGATCGTGCCTGGCTCTTATCCCAACTGCCATCCCAGCTCCCATCCTGGTTCCCATCTCATCTCCCATCCCAGTTCCCATCCCAGATCCCTTTCTGCTCCCATCCCAGCTCCCATCCCAGTTCCCTTACTGCTCCCATCCCAGCTCCCATCCCAGTTCCCACTCCAATTCCCCCTCTGCTCCCATCCCAGCTCCCATTCTAGTTCCCATCCCAGCTCCCATCCTAGTTCCCATCCCAGCTCCCATCCTAGTTCCCATCCCAGCTCCCATCCTAGTTCCCATCCCAGCTCCCATCTCGTTCCCATCCCAGTTCCCATCCTCATCCCTTGTCCCGGAGCGGGACCGGGCAGGTCCTCCCGTCCAGCAGGGGGCGCGCGCGGCCCCGTGGCGCGCAGCTGTGACGTCGCGGGGCGGAGGAGGAAGAGGAAGAGGCCGCGGCCGCCCCGGGCCCGACGCGATGGAGGCGGTGCCGGTGCCGCTGCCCGCGGCCTCCCCCGCCGCTCTGCTGCCCGCCGCCGCCGCGGGCCCCGTCGCCGGGACGGCCAAGGAGGCGACGTCACCGGCGCCGAGGCAGGCGAAGAAGATCCTGGACGAGGACGCCTACATCGAGGTGAGGCGGCGGGCCCAGCAGGCCCCTCTCCGCCGGTGCCCGGGCCGAGCGCTTCGGGTCGGCCCGGCCGGGTCCGCCCGCGGCCGCTGCCCGCTGTAACCGCGGCTGCGGGTCGGGACAGCGCCGTGGCCGCCCCCCGGGCCTGCGGCGGGAGCTGAGAGCGCTCCGCCACCGGCGCGGGGCCCGCGGGCTGCCCGTCCTGCCCGGGGCTGTGCGCGGCCGGCCCCGAGCTCAGCTGGCGTTCCCGGGTGTCCTGGCGTGGCTGAGCAGCCGCCTCTGTTTGCAGAGCTTGGAGAAGATCATTCAGCGGGATTTCTTCCCCGACGTGGAGAAGCTGCGGGCGCAGAAGGAGTATCTGGAGGCTGAGGAAAACGGCGACTTGGAGAAGATGAGGCAAATTGCCATCAAGTTTGGCTCCTCCTTGAGCAAATCGTCGAGGGACACACCTGCACCCTGTAAGAAGTGCCTCTCTGGGGCATCAGGAGTTTGTATCTGATACTGTTGTTTTGCTATCTACCTTGGTGCAGACAGTGCTTATCTAGAAGGTTAAAGGTTGACATTGCATGAGAGTTACTGTCCCAGATTGGGCAGTAACCACTGTCTGGTGGCTGATGCTGAATCTCTCTTTGATGGTGTCTGATAACTCCTTATTGAAGGAAGGGTTTTGGACAAAGCAGCTTTTGAATAACTATTCCTTACAGGCATCTTTTGCCAAGTTCCTGCTCCCTGGGGAATGTTACATGCTCTAATGTGCAATATTAGCACTATCAGAAATCCTAAGCTGTGTTTTGAACCCTTCCTGTAGTTTTAGGGGTTCTTGTTGCACCTACAGATGTGTAAGATTATCATGTATTAGGGACAGAAGGTGTTGGAAGCTCGTGGTTATCAGAGGTTCCCACATCCAATGCCCTGTTCTGTGTTTTCCTTTCACTTCCAGGGTTTTGTATTACTTTCATATTTTTATACTCCTAATTTATACTTTGTTCTTATACTTCAATTTTATATTTTTATATATTTTATATTACCCTTTCAGGGTTTTAGATTAAAGCCCAGCCCCTGGCTGAACTCTCTCAGTGGAGTTTGAGTTAAGTGGCTTTATTGTGACAAAGGACACATGTCACCAGGGGTTTCCCTTCCTCCCCAGTGCAGGTGCTGGCCCTGGGCTGGGTTAGGGTTGTTCTGCTGTTCCTTCTGTAGGCAAAAGCAGGGGGTAGGGTGGCAAATACACTGGGCTGTGGCTCTCCTGGGAATTTCTCCCAGGAGGAGAAAAATGATGTCTTAGATGAGACCAAAATCTAGACAGGATTGAATACAGTATTTTGGAGTCTTTCCACAAGTTTTTAATTAATTTGTCCCCTTGATGTGCCTTCTGTGACTTGTTTGGCACATGACCCTCAGAGCAAGGGTCCTGATATGTGCTCTGGTAACCAAGTGAACCTTTATTTTCTGTGACAGATGTTACCCCAGCCACATTTGAAACCCCAGAAGTGCATCCAGGCGGCCTTCCACTGGGAAGTAAATCCAAAGGTGGCATCAAATCTTCAGAAGAAGGTAGGAGAATGTTGTTTCTCTAGCTGAATTCTTCAGCAGCGGGAAAATATTCTTGTGAGCCCTGTCTCCTCTAAGGGTTTTGGGTACTTAGAACATGTTTAAGCAGTTTTCCTTTAAACTTCTGGTAGGTGAAAATGATCCCTCTGAAGTTGGACTTAATGTAATGTTTTACATTTAATGTTTTATGTCATCTATGTGAATTCTCTTTGTGGCTGTGTAAATTCTTAACTTAGCTGATCTCTTCAAAGGCAGTAAATTTTTCCTGTGTCACCTGAAATAAATTCTGTCAGTAAGCAAAGACTGGAGGGGCAGAACTGTCTGTAGGGCACGTTACAAATGTCTGCTAGCAGCTGTCCTCTTATGTGCTTTACCGTTAAAACAAATAGCTATAAAGGCCATAAAGGGTTTTATGTAAAAGTTGGTTATATGTGTTCCAAAAAAGATTTATTCCCGTGTGAATATATCTGTTTCACCGAGTTCCATGTTAGTTGTCAGTGTGTCCGTGGAAGGCTCGCTGCCAGGAGGATTAGCAGTTATATGTAGTGCTCTCACAGAAAGGGAGGCATTAACCTTTCTCAGGCTTCTTCCCTCCTCTTGTTAGGAGAAGCAGAAAAAGATGATAAAGATGCCCTTCCCAGCCTGGACACCTTCCTGGCCAAGCACACGAGTGAAGATAACGCTTCGTTTGAGCAGATCATGGAGGTGGCCAAGGAGAAGGAGAAGGTCAAGCACGCGTGGCTGTACAGTGCAGAGGAGGAGTACACACGGGTAGGAACTGCCCTTCCGGAGGGACACGGCAGGGAAATGCCAGTTCATTCTCTTTCTTGCTTGCTTGATAAACAGAATATTGTCTTGCCTTCTGTTTTCTGATCTTACTATAAATACTGATGAGAATTGTTGGCTGTTGGCTGTTGCACTGGGCTGTTAAATCACTCATATTATTGAATAAGAGTAGAAAGATCTCCATTTTGCATAGTGGGTGCATAGGTTGATCATGACTAAGTCTGAGCTAAGCCTGAGTCCTGTGACTGCTCTTTGCTTCTTTGTGCAGTCCTATTTTTTCCCCATCTGTAAGAACAGTGTTGACTTAGTTGCTGAGGATTTGTCTCTTAAAGCTTAGAGACTGCAAAGCACGGCACTGAGTGCAGATATTGCTGTCCTTGACAGTCTCCTCTGTAAGCAGCAGCACCAGGGAGAGCAGCTGAGAACAGTTCCTGGTGTTTGTCCATCAGCCCTTTATTGTTTGTAGTTAGACTGTGTGTCTCATTTCAGTTTTCTGTTACTAGTCCTACCCCCTTCAGCTGCCCAAGCACAGTACTGTGTGAGCATGGCTGGCTGTGCTGTCCTTCTCAGCTCCCTCTGGGGCAGGTCCAGAGCTGTTCTGGGGCTGCCTTGTCAATCCTTAACCATCAGCAGCGAGCAGCTGGCAGTGCTGCCAGATGTGTCAGTGATGGATGAGGGCTGCAGTGCCTTTAATGAAGTTTGGCACTGACACATGAGTGTTTACTGCTGTTGTTGTGAGGGAGTGTTATTTTTTTATCCCAGCTAATGTAAACCCTCAGAGTCTGTTACAGTAAAAATGCCCTCTGTGGCTCATTATACATCTTGAATGCTTTCATCCAGAATTAAAAGGCAGGCAGCAGGAGAGCTCTTGCAGAGCACAGGGGTTGTTTCAGGTCAAGGTGAAGCTACTGGAGCTGGTCTTGTGCTGGAGTGTCTTGCTGTCAGCCAGCACTCTAGTCAGACCTTAACATTTCCTTGCATAGTGTGCTTCATAGGGAGTGGTTGTTGGGAAGCTCACCTGGGATCAGGATGGTTTCTCAAATGCCAGTTGCCAAAGAGAGAGTGCTTGTGCTGTGCCTGATGCAAAGTGTGCAAGGGCAGGTGGCTGAGCCTGTGGTTGACCTCTCCAAAGTGTGTCTGCCTGAATAAAAGATTGCAGGAGGCTATTTCAGGCCTCTGGGTTTTTTTTTTCTACCCTTTTAAATTTTTTTCCTATTGCCTTTTCAGCGACAAAATGAAAACCTGGCACTTCCTTCAGCAGAGCAGCAAGCTCTGGAGAATGTGAAGGCTGGG